TTTTTTTTTTTCCTTTTTAAATAAAAACTAAGACCTACCTATTAAAAACAGCTACACTCTATGCTGTAAATTTCCCAACAATTTCACAAGCTAGCAGTACAAGATAGGTATTGAAGAGACTGATGGAAAGACAGCTTTCCGTTATGCAAAAGATGATTTTTCCTCTCCAGTTATTTAAGCTAACCTCCTTTAACAATCTCAGAATAAATTAATAAATACTAGTTAAATTAGAAACAGTACATCGGATCTGTCTATCAATAGAAAACAGTTCTAAGGGTATCAATCTGGAGAAGAAAAATGATCTTATGGAGTATGTGCAGTAATAACTGGCCATCAAGACGTACGGAGCCTCTGATTTCCCAGCATTTGTGACGTTCAAGTTAATTAGAAGAACATTAGCAAGGGTTTAAGTCAGCTATCTAGCCTAGCCTCCTCCTCAAATCTAAAACGTGAGTCCGTATTCTTCCAGAAGAAGAGTCAGTTGGCTACCGGTGGTGTACGAAACGCTCGTCTCCAGTTTGTGTCGTCGGATTCTTGACTGGGTGGAATTTGCGGTGGGGGGTGGCCGAGGACAGCTGGAGGCCGAGCTGCTCCCGCTGGTGCTGCTCTCAGTTCTTCTGGGATCAGTTGAACCTTTACCTACGCTTGTAGGAAAGCAGGAGTGCGCATCACATCGTCATGCGAGACAGAAGTTATTCTTGTGTGGCTATCCGCATTTTTGTGGAGCTTTCCATTGCTGGTTAAAAAAGTTCTTTCTAATGATAAAAAAAAAAGTTGTTGGTAGCAATTGTTCACATTTAAAATTTCACATTCCCTTTCGAATGTAGTTTTAAAACGTGGAGCAGAGCTGACGTTTCCCCCAGTCTTACGCCGAGTACATCAGATGGAGAAGGAACAGGGTCTTTTACGCCACGCAGTCACAGCCTTTTCCTGAATTTTCTGCTTTTCCAATATCCATGTCAATAAAGTCATCCGGTAAGTCCGGCAGGGCCTCGGCCACGCTCTCCTCGGGGCAGCGCTGCCAGCGGAGGCACAGCCCAGCCTTGCACGGTCTCACCAGGGCCAGGCACACGGCACCCAGCACCATGCCAGCAGCGCAGGAGTAAAAGGCCGAGCTGTAATTCTGTGTCGTATCCACTAAGACACCTATGGAAAAGACGTTCGCAGCAGTTAGCCACAGCCCACCCTCCCTCTCCCTTGCCCATCCATCCCTCCTACAGGATTTTTAACTCCGGGTACCACGGCATCACTTTATTTGCAATCAGCACTCGATGGCAAACAGATGCCAGCCTTCAAAAAGCAAAACCGTTGTGTTTTTGGGCACAAACTGAAGCAGAGGAAGCTCCAGCTGAACATGAGGAAGAACTTCTTCCCTCTGAGGGTGACGGAGCCCTGGCCCAGGCTGCCCAGGGAGGCTGTGGAGTCTCCTTCTCTGGAGATATTCCAGACCCACCTGGACGCGGTGCTGTGCAGCCTGCTCTGGGTGACCCTGCTTGGGCAGGGGGTTGGACTGGAGACCCACAGAGGTCCCTTCCAACCTCCACCATGCTGTGATTCTGTGTTCAGAGGTACACAGTGTTGCCTTCAGGCAAGCCAGAACCCTTCAGGCACTCCAGGGACGCTCAGCATCCATTTGTTACGAGAGAGACTTCACCTTTCTGCAGCCGCTGCCAGAGCCCGAAGCGCTGCCCGCCCGAGGTTCCCGGCAGCAGCAGGGCAGCACTGCAGCGTTCCCCTCCGCCCCGAGGTTCCTCAGCAGTGGGACTCTGCAGAGCTGCACTGCAGCAGCCTTCTGGCTCCGAGAGCCTCCTAATGCTGGTTGCAGGGCTTTTAGGACAGCGCTATGAGTAGCGCTGCCAGAACGCTTTCTATGGAGATCAGCACCGACAGCTGTCAAACGCACCAAAAATAAGAAATTTAAGATGAAAGTTTTCGAGTTACCTGCAAGGGGTGGTCCAGCCAACCCAGCGAAGCTTTGAATGAAGACGTAGACTCCAGCTGCAGAAGACATCTTTGTGATGCCAACCACATCGTCTTCTGCCAGGAGGGGAATATGCGTGCCCGCTACCGTTCCGAGCATGAACCCAAAAAAGATGCTACATGTCATCAAGCCCCAGAATCCGGAGGCAAAAGGGAAGGCAAACAACGCTACAGACAGCAGAACGACGCAGATGAGTTCAATGTAGATCTTGCGGATCGGCTTCTTGTTGAGAACCCAGCCCGCTGAAATTCTTCCCAAGACCTCCGCAATGGCCATGGCCGACAGGATGTACGCGGAGTGGTCTTTGCCGATGCCAAGGCTGAGACTCAGGGGAATGATGTAGAGGGAGGGAGCGAAGAAGCCCAGGGTAGCGAACAGGCCAAAGAAGGCATAGCAGATAAAGCTATAGTCTCTCATTACTGAGAAGTCCAGTAGTTTGGTTTTTGGTTCTGGAGGGGTGCTGTGATTTTCCACAAGTATCTGTACGTGTTCCTTTGGTTCTTCACTTTTCGGCTCTGCTTTGGTGTTTCCAGGCACATTGCTGGGTGAGGTAGTTATTTCTACTCCTGAGTCTATGGACTCTATTGAGGTGCGCGTTTGCTCGTTTTCAAGCATGTACTTGGTCTCCGCCGGCTCTTCCGGAGGCTGCACTTTCGCTTCTTCTTGCTCTTTGATGATAATGGGTCGCAACAGCGATCCGCAGACGACGATGCTGAGCTGCAGCACCCCGATGGAGAGGAGGCTGTATCTCCAGCCGATCTGCTCCTTCAGAGCTGTGATTGCTGAGGGGAGAGGGCAGAAGCAGCAGCAGGTATAACTAGGAAAGCCTGTAGTTACACCAAGGAGCATTCTGAATTTACAGCTAGGGGAGTAACTGAAGCTTCATCACTGGAGGGTCCCAAGCACCCCAGCTCTCACAGAGGCTGAGCAGGGGTCCCTCTTGGTCTACCCAGGGGTCTGGCACCCACGTTCCTCCCACCAGCTGCAGCAGACAAGAGCCAGAAATCACGTTTAACATCTGGCTAGCAGAAGCTACCCTCTCGGTAGCCACTTCTGAGGTCCCAGCGAGTTTGGGATGCGCAAGAACGAAGGCGGTGTTATTTTTAGTGAATGAGAGCAAACTCCCCAGTTGAGTTTCCTCTCCCAGCTGACCGCACCCTGAAACCAGCTACCAGAGGAAGTCTCTGAACTCAAAGGTGCATGTCACCGCTTAATTACCACCCTTCATTTGCCATCAAAGCTGCTTTGCAATGGGTATTAGCTGACAGCAAGCATGCCCAGCAGAAGACCACCCAGACAGCAGAGGACAGGCAGTGACAGGGACCTGCTGCCTGGGGACACGTCCCCGCAGGCCGGAGCAGCTCGACAGCCCATTCTAAGCACAAGCCCGCTAACCTTTACGAGCAGTTACGCGTACCGCGTGCATTTTAAATAGCTGAAGTTTCTTGGTGTTATTTTTAGCCGCTAGATCTATCCAGGGAACCCGGCGGGCTGCGTATCAGCGAGGCGCGTCCTGCTCTGGCAGGCGATGCTGGGGAGAGCTCGGGCATCGTTAGGCCGGTCTCTAGGATTACTTGGTAACCCTGCCCGCCAGGCACGAGTGCCACGGGCATGTGAGCAACCACCTGTGGGCTCTCGGGTCCACGAGCACCCTGGTACGGAGGGCCTTTGGCTCCCAGTCGCTTGGGAAAAGGTCGGGAGCAGCGCTGGGCTTTAGGCATGCACGTATGAAGCGACAGCATTCGGGCACTGTACCTGGTGCAAAGGAGAAAACAGCAAAGCATTCCCCTGTCGATGCCACTGCTGTGACCAGCGAGCGTCTTTTGTCAAAATACTGTGACAAAATGGTGACAGTCGGGAGGAAAGAGAGGCAGTATCCGAGGCCTGTGAATAAATGCCAAAAATTGCCATAACAACAAGTAAGGGAGGGAGAAACACCGATGCGAGAACACATTAAGTCAGCTTTCCCAGTGGCAAGCTTACAGTATGATTTCGGCCAACTCAGCAAGTCACCCTGGAAGAAAACCATTGGGGAAACCAGAATGTTATTTTTTTTAAACTGGAAGGGGGAAAAGAAGAAAAAAACCAAACAAACAAACCACCCAAACCAAGAGACCCACCCTCCCAAACCCGCTAGGCAATGCCTTCTGCTCCCAAACGGCCAGCGGGTCCACGGTGAGGACCTCGTCTGCTTAAAGAGCCGAAAAAAAAAAAAAAAAATATTTAGAGGTGAGAGGATTTGACCCCATGAACAGCTTTCACCTCCCCAGCGTGCCCAGTCAGAAGCAGTGAGCTGCACTAGCACAGTGCTCAAGTGCCAGGGTGGTCCCCAGGGTGACACGGGGCAGAACGCCAAGCCCTGAGCCCATCGCCTCGACCGGGAGAGCAAGGCCAGCAGCTTTTCTCAAGCCCTCCCAGTCCCACAGGCAGCAAACCCCCCACAGCCGGAGCCACGCTGGCAGGGAGCCGCAGGGCGAGCGAAGCGTTGGGCGGGCTGGCCGACAGGACGACTCACCGGAGACGACGCCGATGGCGACGTACATGTCCACAACAGTATGGGCGAAGGAGGCGGTGACCATGCCGGTGCTGATCAGTACCCCTCCGGCCATCACCACAAAGCGGTGACCGAAGCGATTGCTGAGCACCGTCGACAGAGGAGCTGGATGGGCAGAAGAGCAGAGCCGTGGTCAGCACCCAAGTCAGCAACTTCACCCGCTACCACCTCCTCCAGAGGCTCCTCTCATACCCCTGCCCAGGTCCTCGTGACATGCCACCTCCCCCGCCAGCTGGCCTCATAGAGCCCAGCATCACCTCAGAGCCATCCCTGGGGCACGGCACAGCTTGCGGCGTTTAGGATGGGCTACAAAGATCCATCAGCAGAGACCACGATGGGTGCGTGAGGTCCTGGGACAAACCCGCAGCCACATCCACAGGATTTCTGTGAGGATCAAGTTATTCCTCATCCTTTTCACTCCAGAGTTAAGCTTCAAAACTCCTGTTTTCAACCCTTGCTGACGAGACCTAACCAGCCAGGCCAGGATCGGCGACACGGACCGCGTCCCTGTCCCACGCAGAAGGACGTGAGATGGGGCTCAAAGGGACTGCCGGGCTGAGACAGACATTTCTTGCTACTTCAGGAGCACGCGGCCTCGACGCCATGGCTGTTATTTATCCACGAGCCATGAGAGACACGACAGTCACAGGTCCGAGCTCCTCACGTGCTGAGTCAGCAGTACGACCGTCCCCCTGTGCTCGCGCCAAACGCCGGCTCCTCTTACCTGTGAAGGTCTGCACAAAGACACATATGGATATTATCCAGGATATCCTGCTGTTGGTTTCGTCAAAGCTCTCCATCAGGTCGTTAAAGAAGACGCCAAACGATTTTATAATGCCGTAGGTTAGAGCTTCCACAAAGAAGAAAGCAAAAGCAATCGTCCAGCCCCATCCTCCGTCAGGCACTTTAGTATAAACATTTGGAGCGGTGCACGGCATTTTTACAGCTTTGACAGTCATTTTTTTGATCTGGAAAAGAGGGGAGAAAGAGCCAGGCATCAGTTTAAAGATGAATTTTGCCAAAAGAAGCACGGCCTGGCAGCCGGAACGTCGCTCAGGAACCACTGCCCGGTCCCTGTGCTGCCGAGGGATTGCAGGCAAGAGCTGGGCTGAAGGTTCTGTCGTGGTCGCCCCACCAGGCTCGTTCCTGCTGGTGCCCTTTGAGCCCAGGACCAGCAACCCTCTGCTCAGCCCCCAGC